AGAAAACATTCTAAGAAACAAACCTGTAAGTTATATCCGTGTTGATAAACAGATCATTCAACCTCGGAATAGCGCAGTTCAAGATCACATCAGACTCCTTTTCCATTCCATATGATCCATCCACTGCAAGCTTGAGATTATCAGGTAACTTATCTGGGAACATTTCCCACTTATATAAATCACCTGGAGGAATTGTTTTTTAATATTGTGATAGTAAAATAGTATGATGAAATGTTAGAAGCGTTATAACAAGTTCATCTATTCCTAATTGATGACCATACATTATCTTTTCATCAAAAGAACATAACGAAAGTCGTCAAAACGTCAGAAGAACCGTTTTAAACCTGATTGTGAAGAATAGCATTTGTAGGAAGATTCCCATTTCGGTTGGTCCACCTCACAGGCAGTAATTTCAGAGAATAATATGCAGGATCCTCCTTCTTCACTCTTTAACAACGGGTATGGGGGATGATTATCGGGCTAATTTCAGGGAAACGATCCATTTCATGATAATAGTACTTTATTATTATTGAGGCAATGTGTCTGTTAAATTGCTCCAGTTTGGACTCTGACCCAATAAACAGCACCAGTTCACAAGTTTCATAGCATTTATTTAGTTTACTTTTGTCAGTTACATAATTTCAAATCAACATTTTACTTCACATGTTGTTTAGAAGCCTGAACTAAACAATTAATTAATTTGTAAATTTACCTCATAAGAAATACCATTACACTTATCTTCAGACCACATGCAATATATTGCACACGTGTTAAAGTCTCTAGCAGAAAGTTTAACTATCTGTGTTCCACTGAATTTTATCCCATCCAGTTGGCATGTTTTGTCTACTGGGAGCTTGCATATCGCTAAAGTCAATCCAAGCAATGCTGAAATAATTTAGTCAAGTAAAAGTAATAAAATTAATAATATGAAACGTTGAGATTGAGGATTTTCAGCAGCTGTTATTCAACATATTTTAAAACTTTATACCTGTATTGTAGAATAGCATCCGCCATAAAGCTTGTATCATCTCCCTTCACCATTCAATCACTGATTATTGTTAACATCATGATGACTAAAATCTCGTCTTTAAAGTTAAACAAATCATTGATTCAAAAAATTCCAAATTGTTTATAAACGGCCCTTATTTCAGCAACTTGCACTCAACTAGGTAAAGAGGGACGCTCACTATTTTGGCCGTACAATTTTGGTTGCTCATAATTGTGTTATTCGTTATTTCGGAATTTAGGACCAATACTATTTACAATAGTCTCACAGCCTTTATGCGTACAAGTGCTGTACAATTGTATTTGTCCTATGACTGACACAGAACGTTCTGTCTTACTGTGTAATGATTCGCCGACATTGTTACGATGGTTCCTTATCTGCACAGTAATTCGTGCTTCGTTTTATTGAGCTTAATGTACAAAGTGCGGTCCAAAATTTATATCAAAAAACCTCTTAAAACATTCATTTGAGCAATTTGCTCTACTATGCTCTTATTTAGGGCCGTCAATAACAGGTTGTTGCGTCCAAATTAGGCTGGTAAGGTAGTTACTCTGGACAAAAATTTAAAGGATGTTAATGCCAAGACAAACACTTAAATATGCCAAGAATTCGTATATAGTTCCACCGAAAAAGAACAAGGCTCTGAAACCTGGAGGGGGATATTTAAAACATATAAGTGATACGAAAGAACAAGGCTCTGAAACCTGGAGGGGGATATTTAAAACATATAAGTGATACGAAAGAACAAGGCTCTGAAACCTGGAGGGGGATATTTAAAACATATAAGTGATACGAAAGAACAAGGCTCTGAAACCTGGAGGGGGATATTTAAAACATATAAGTGATACGAAAGAACAAGGCTCTGAAACCTGGAGGGGGATATTTAAAACATATAAGTGATACGAAAGAACAAGGCTCTGAAACCTGGAGGGGGATATTTAAAACATATAAGTGATACGAAAGAACAAGGCTCTGAAACCTGGAGGGGGATATTTAAAACATATAAGTGATACGAAAGAACAAGGCTCTGAAACCTGGAGGGGGATATTTAAAACATATAAGTGATACGAAAGAACAAGGCTCTGAAACCTGGAGGGGGATATTTAAAACATATAAGTGATACGAAAGAACAAGGCTCTGAAACCTGGAGGGGGATATTTAAAACATATAAGTGATACGAAAGAACAAGGCTCTGAAACCTGGAGGGGGATATTTAAAACATATAAGTGATACGAAAGAACAAGGCTCTGAAACCTGGAGGGGGATATTTAAAACATATAAGTGATACGAAAGAACAAGGCTCTGAAACCTGGAGGGGGATATTTAAAACATATAAGTGATACGAAAGAACAAGGCTCTGAAACCTGGAGGGGGATATTTAAAACATATAAGTGATACGAAAGAACAAGGCTCTGAAACCTGGAGGGGGATATTTAAAACATATAAGTGATACGAAAGAACAAGGCTCTGAAACATGGAGGGGGATATTTAAAACATATAAGTGATACGAAAGAACAAGGCTCTGAAACCTGGACGGGGATATTTAAAACATATAATTAGTGATACGAAAGAACAAGGCTCTGAAACCTGGAGGGGGATATTTAAAACATATAAGTGATACGAAAGAACAAGGCTCTGAAACCTGGAGGGGGATATTTAAAACATATAAGTGATACGAAAGAACAAGGCTCTGAAACCTGGAGGGGGATATTTAAAACATATAAGTGATACGAAAGAACAAGGCTCTGAAACATGGAGGGGGATATTTAAAACATATAAGTGATACGAAAGAACAAGGCTCTGAAACCTGGAGGGGGATATTTAAAACATATAAGTGAAACGAAAGATTGTATTAGCAGTGTGCTCTGAAAGTAAAGGATTTCTGATAATTATGAACTAAGCGCGGATCAGAAGATTGTTATTTTAGGAGTAAAACAAATATTTTGAGATGATAATTTTCAGCATCTGGCCGGTGCCCCTTTCACTTAAAGTTAATCAGTGAGCAACTATAACTTCAGCCGCGGAGGAGAATCATACATGCAACTGATAGACGATACCACTTAAGGGACCGAAATAATTGGCCATTATAACGCTCATTATCTATTTTCAATTATAAGGGGCCTTAGTTATATGGATCTTTGTCTCGATTTAGAGGGTCGGATTTAAAAAAATTCAACGCAGGTTCTAATAATTCAAACTTTTGGTATGAATATGAATTATTTTATGTCGAAATTTTAGGATAACAGTTGATAATATCGCACATAATGAGAAGTTTTCACTCTTCGGCTGATGAAAGTTTACAACTCTCTAAATGTTATTGGACTTAAGTGCTACTACTACTACTACTACTACTACTACTACTACTACTACTACTACTACTACTACTACTACTACTACTACTACTACTACTACTACTACTACTACTACTACTACTACTACTACTACTACTACTACTACTACTACTACTACTACTACTACTACTACTACTACTACTACTACTACTACTACTACTACTACTACTACTACTACTACTACTACTACTACTACTACTACTACTACTACTACTACTACTACTACTACTACTACTACTACTACTACTACTACTACTACTACTACTACTACTACTACTACTACTACTACTACTACTACTACTACTACTACTACTACTACTACTACTACTACTACTACTACTACTAGTCGAAGGGGCCGGGGAAATCTCTGCAGATGACTGACTATTCATACAGAATCATTATAAAAGTAGCCTCAGCAACAGCTATATAACAACATACTATTAGTAAAGGATTCACTGCTGTAAAGTATTATTTAATTTTATACGGTCGCAATGATAAGTCTCAATAATTTAACAAGTTCGAATGGTGCATGCAATTGGCAAAAATCTCTTACACTTCATTGGCCAAACGAAAATTAAAACTCTTGAAAGCAGGAACGAGTGAAAGTTGAAAACATTTATGACTACATAAAAGATATAAGCATAATGAACAAAAATTTACGATCACAAGCACGATATTCGAATAAATATTATTAACGATAGTTTAAAATTCGAATAGCAGCAGGCATTACAGAATGTCTTGTCTTGTGGTGAAGGTAGTATTTAGGGAGGAAAAATTACTATTTCACAAAGCAGGAACTTGAGCGATTAAATCAACGTGAAAACTTGGAATACTTGCAATTGTTATTAGTATCTCAATTAAATCACCGTGCGATTATTTACTGAAACCTCCAAAAACTTCCGAATAGCATGTGGTCACGATGTTCATTCGAAGTAGTTAGTAGTAGTTAGTACTTATAGTAGATTAACTTTATATATTGATTCCATTCGAAATTAATAGTTACTACAATTTGAGAACGATGTTATTTTCGAAAATGTATGGCGTCATGCTGATGCTTATACGCTCGTTAAAATTACGTTATCTATATTTATTTGCGTTATCTAATTCTAAACACTAATATTGGTAGTCATCAAATATACCACTTGATCACGTCATCAACACGCCCAAATTGGCGAAAATTGCTATTTTCGCCATTTTCTGTCAACCTTGGAGTGCCGTCGTGATATAAGTTCTTCTTGAAATCTATCGAAACTTTGCATGCGTACTAACTTATATATGAACTACACACATTATAAAATTTATGGTGATTCAATATTGGATGCGCACGCAACGTCTGCTTATCGTTTGCACGTGCAAAAGGTGAGAATTCTGCTCATTCGTGATTTTGATTAGATTTTGCTTTCCCACGACAGTTAAATGACATATTACATGAATTTGATACCAACTTGAATGAGTATAAATTGGCATATTCAGTCAATGATCGACAGATATGCTGACTCAAAAAGGTAAAATTTCGAAATTGTTGAAATTATCTCTTTATTGACGAAGTTATCAGTTTTATATTTCGACTTTGTCAAGGACCCTGAAATCAACCAAAAAGAGATGATACCAAAACTCATAATCATTGGTAGAGTGGACCACTGCCAGTGTTCCCCTTTCCAAAACAAAAGGAATTGATATTAATTTGAATTCATTCACGGCTTACGAATAGTAATCAGTTTTGGTTTATTACATCAATTACACTCTGTAAAAATCCATTTGGGTCGCTTTCGGGCCCATGGTACTTCGGGATAAGGGCGGTAATTAGTGTCCAATTAGCTGAGTTTTATCGAATCGTTATTGCTGAGTACAGCTGCAGCTCCAGTGTAGTGCTCCACTTTACCCATGATTATTGGTTTTGGTAAAATAGTTTCATAAATAAATCATAAATCTTCATTACGAAAAGTGGTCAAAATATTAAGATATCCTAAGCAAGTTCTATCACGATATCAACAAAAGAACAAAGATAAATAGGATTTTGATACGCAGCTATACCAGATATATTCAAAAACTATTTATAGGTAATAGAAATGAATCATATGAAATGATAAATAAGGTGTCATTCTGTCCCGGATCTTATAAGTGCTCTCAAAGAATCCATTCTTCTAACTGAGAAAGTTTTGTGGTAATCGGAGTTTGGGGCTTTATTTCCAGTGAAGTTTTAGGAGTCAACCTTGCCTTGAACTTAGCACCATTTTTTAGTGTTGACAATTGATCAATTTCCGCTTTGGGAGTTTGTTTTAGAGTTTGTTTTCTCTTGAATTTTACAACTTCACTCTGTGGTGGGGGCGTGGGTGTTATTTTTCCTCGGCCTCTGATCAGATCTAGAGGAGAAGCGGACCTTTTTCCGGAGGCATACGAACTTGAATCAGGACTGCTGCTGTTTAATACGAATAGTCGTTGCTCCAAGTTAAGCTCAATCTCAGCTAATTGCTGACTTTGCTCCTCTACTCGCATATGCTGGCTTCTTATTATCTTCTTTCCTGCAATGATTACTTTATCTTTATTCGCGGTCGCGACCGTGGAAACTTCTTTTCTTTTAGGTCTGTCATGGCGTTCAGGACTTATGGCTGCCACTGCATCCTTTATCTTTGTCTGAGCAATAGCAAAACTTCTCGGTAAAGTTGATCTCTTGGGATTGTTAGTGTTAGTTTCTTGAGCTTCCAGGAACTCGAAATAGCTGGGAACAGGGTCACCCGGAGGAGTTAAATTGTGCCCTGACTGGTCTCCAAGTGAGGATCGGGAGCTGAAATGATGAACTGATCAATAAAATAGTTTTACAATTAAAATACGTACGCCGGGCCGAATATTTTAAAAATCACCAAGCCTTAATTTGGAATCCAAATGAAAATTCTTTAATTGAATTTGTAGTATGAAAATCGGCCCATGATGTTTTTTCGTTTACAAATAATTCTTTAGCAACTAGTCCACAATATTTTAATATGGCCAGTTGGTAGATCACCGACCGGCTATAAGCCGGTTATAAGCCGGCTATAAACCGGCTTATAGCCGGTTAGTAGCCGCTTACATTTGTTGTTGAGCGACGGCTATTAGCCGGTTATAAGCCTGCTATTAGCCGTTTTGGTATTAAAAGTGGTTATAAGCCGGCTATAAGCCGGCAATAAGCCGGTTATAAGATATTAACTCAACTACATCGTACTGAACGATAGTCAGGAGCCGGCTATAAGAAATTCAGTGAAAACGGCTATTAGCCGGTTATAAGCCGGCTATTAGCCGTTTAGGTATCGAAAGTGGTTATAAGCCGGCTATAAGCCGGCTATAAGCCGGTTATAAGATATTAACTCAGTTCAGTACGATGAAGTTAAGTTAATATCTTATAGCCGGCTTATAACCACTTTTGATACCTAAACGGCTAAAAGCCGGCTTATAACCGGCTAATAGCCGTTTTCGCTGAATTTCTTATAGCCGGCTCCTGACTATCGTTCAGTACGATGAAGTTGAGTTAATATCTTATAACCGGCTTATAACCACTTTCGATACCTAAACGGCTAATAGCCGGCTTATAACCGGCTAATAGCCGTTTTCACTGAATTTCTTATAGCCGATACCTAAACGGCTAATAGCCGGCTTATAACCGGCTAATAGCCGTCGCTCAACAACAAATGTAAGCGGCTACTAACCGGCTATAAGCCGGCTTATAGCCGGCTATAAAAATTGTAGCCGGCTATAAGCCGGTTTATAGCCGGCTTATAACCGGCTTATAGCCGGTCGGTGATCTACCAATTTCCCTTTAATATATACATGTAGTATCATAAACGTAGGAAAATAGTAAGTTGTAAAATTAAATGACGTGATCTTATAAATTTTCATCTGAATCATAAAATGTACTACTTACCAACGGAAACATACCTTAACATCTTTTTCCGTACTATTTTAACAGGCTCCAGTGAAGGACTAGCAACGGAGCTTTCCTTTTCTTCAAGTGGCTCCAGCGATGCTTTCTTCATTAGAGCCACCGCTGTTTGCATACCTACGTTGTAAGAGATCATGGGTCAGTAAAAACATTGAAGGCTTCCAAATAAATAAATTCGTATGAGAGAGTCCTGCTAAGTCCTTTATACTACACGATTAATTGGTTATCGTGATAAGTTTATTAAAAAGTTAAAACAAACCGGCAGTTAGGGAATCTTTGCTGTCAGTCCTTTGGCGAGTCAGCTGCTTTGTTAGACTCAACTTGGTGACGGTGGTGGAGAGGGTTACTATGGAGCTTCGTTTTTGGAACATCCCGGTAAATAAATCCAGTCTGCTTTTTGTTGGAGTATTTGATCTGGAATCATTTCTGATGTGAATAGGTGTTGATATATTCTTGTACCTGCGAAAGCCTCCTAGATATGACTGCAGCTTCAAAAGACCGCAAATAAGCTGTGACGGAATTTTGTTAAAAAGACAAAAGTCTATGCGTAAATTTACCATGATATTAGAATTTTATGTATAAATTTATATCCGGCTATTTGTTTTAACAGTTGGAGATGCATGTTGTTATTTAGCGGACGCCTTCGAGACTTACTTAAGAGTAAAAGTCACATGGAGATTAGGATGTTTCGAATTAGGAAAGTTGTAAATTAAGTTGTTGTGCTCTTGCAGGGAATAGAAGTAAAAGATAACAGCCTGTCAAAGATACTCTTTATCTGATATTTTGTAGTTTGTAGGTTGTAATATTTGAAATATTTGGATCTGATAGTTTGTAGTTTGCAGGTTGTAATATTTGAAATATTTGGATCTGATAGTTTGTAGTTTGCAGGTTGTAATATTTGAAATATTTGGATCTGATAGTTTGTAGTTTGTAGGTTGTAATATTTGAAATATTTGGATCTGATAGTTTGTAGTTTGTAGGTTGTAATATTTGAAATATTTGGAATATTTGGAATATTTAAAATATTTGTAATATTTGAAAAATTGTCCCCGCAGGTGATACCAGTGAAAAAGTAACGGTGAAACGACAAGCTCAAATTTATTTTTTCGACTTACAGTTTAAGTTTTGGAGTAACAGTTTTTACTTGTTAGTATCGGTTTTATTAAACTTAAAGCCGCAAAGTGTGAATATTTCCATGCACAGTTTAAATACATACATGGAAGTTCATGGTACATAGATATTAGACAAGCACTGCCGTTTAAAGACACTTTAATGGCGCACACTTCATCAATAATTACTTATTTTCAGTATTGGAGCAGTTATAAGACTATATTCAACTGCATTCATTATGTTGATCTTTTGAAGCTGACTTTAAAAACCGCTAATCATAATAGTAATATATGTGTATGATACAGTAAAACCCCGATTTACTGCTGAGTTTGGGGTAAGCTGAAACAGCCGCGGTAAATCGGGGAACGCGGTTAATCGGGGTTTTGATTGTTCACGTCATATTGATGTTATATATTAAACTCTTTTTTGGGGTAAGAAAATGGCCGGAGATTTACTGTATGCTTTAAAGAATGCTGCTTATGATTGCGGTTTGTCCCAATTGCTTAAAGATATTAAAAAAAAAGAAAATAGCTTTTAACTGCATGCATGGAGTAAATGTAACTGAGAAGATATTGTGACCAAACATTTTAACACAATTTGGTAAATTAGTAAATAATAAATACACTATAGAGTAAGGCTACAAATTAGGAATTGAACACGGATTTAAGATAAATACGTTAAGAAGATAAAATCAATAGATTGATTAGTTTAAAACCTGCTACTGGGTGTACTTTTAGATTCCTTCCCAATGTTGCAGAAGAAATACAACCACTTCTGGTAAATGTCCGGTTTGATTGCACAGTGAAAGATGAAAATCAGGACTCCTACAGAATAAAATTTTCAAAATAAATCTAGAAATGACATTATGGCATCATTAACAGACAATGGAGATTTTTCATTTTGCTAGTTGTGGCAATGTAAATTTTGTTAGATAATGATGACATGATAAAGTATTTTGAAATCATAGATTTTGAAGGTTTATATGACCTACCTTGCAGAGTATTGCAGACAGTAAACAGATAGTGAAATGCAATATTAGCGGGATGGTCGAACACCAGAAACCCCAGCACCCAGGCGAGACCCAAAACACACGACAAAGTACAAACAGCCTTCAACTGTGAGATTATTTTCTGTACTTTACTCTCGAAATGCTGGTATCTTCCTTTCTTGAAGATTTTGGCGACAACAGCGATGAAGATACCCCCGTTTACTATAATCGATACACCTGTGGAATGATTAGCCAGTAATTAGCGCAATGTTTAGCAAGTAATTTATTAAAGAGATTGTAACAATTATTTAATTAGGTTTGTTAAACTGTTTATAGTGTTGCTATTAACCAATAAAATATTCCTCATAACCAATAAAATAGTGGCCATCAGTTCCCGTGACATCTCTACAAACCTACCAATTGGAATATAGAAAGCGAAGTATAGCATTGGTATGTTGTTCTCGTTGGAATTCCGAAGCAGACAAACCGTGTCGTCAGTATAACTGTCATAAGATATTCCGGCAGTTAAACCAACAATCAGTCCCGGTATCACAAATACCATTATCGCTGAAAGATTTGAAACATTCATGAAACTAACAATAACATCTTTTTAAAACTATTCTAGTGTGAATATCATTTCATTTAAAGTGACAATATTCTGAATTTCTGAGGCAAGATACAGAAAAAAAGAAACCTAATTTCATTATAAATCTGGAGCTTCTAGCTTGAAGGATCCTGATGAAGAGCAACCAGAGATTGTAAGATTCCACCACAGTCCACATAAACATAGTTAACCACAAGTAATGTAGAGCTATAGCTATAGCTTTACAGAGGTGCTCGTTCATGCCATCATAATGTTTTGCTCCTGCGGTGAGTTACAAGTTGAGAACAATTTTCATAACAACCATATTTCCTGGTACTCCGCCTAACGACAGCTAATTCACATCGTTATTTTTCTAAGTTATCATTGTTTAAAACTCGAAACGATAATTTCCACACCCCTCCCCAGTCCCCAACACTTAATAATAATTTCCACACACTTACCTCCCAGGAAGAGGAGCATGGCAAGTAACATGGTTGTAGCCAGGTAGATGTGAATCTTGTTAGAAGGAGACCGTCTGATGTCCTTGAACCAAGTGAGGGCTATGAGAGTGAGCACTAGAGCAAGACACGACATTCCCCCGCACACGTAGGTTAGGTAGGATAGTATACTGTCGTGCGGAGGAGGTAGTTTCGTGCTCTGGAGAGGAGGGGTCGTTATTTAGTGATGATTTAGTTTGTTACTTTGAAACGTAGGCATAGTCTATGTAATAAGCGCCATGATCGAGTTGGCACAGAATTTTTAGTCTCTGATTTTGATAAATTGGGTACCAAAAGTTGCTTCTAAATTGCCGTAACTGTGATTAATAAAAATCCACTGTGTAGCAAGATAACGTCGAGCTGTTTACTGGGCCGCGCTCAGCCTGTCATTCCGCCTAATCTCTATTCTATTGTTTATGAACATGATAGCCTGAAGTCCCCAGGTAACGAGCTGTATGTGGGCCTCCTGTGTACAAAGGACGAAAAATGGGTAATTTATTGCTTGAAATACCTAATCCTATAACTCCTAAAATGTTGAATATTTTGAAACAATTCTTTCGAAATTTCACACCCTTGTGTTCAGATTAAAACAGTTTGAAAATAATTTCCCTTTAAATCTTAAAATGTTAGTACTAAAAGTTAAAGTTTCGTTTCGATGAGCTGATTACGATGCCATAATCATTATGCAATAATAACTGAGAATGTGAAAGTTATAGGCCAAAAACTAAAAATTTGCGCAAAAAAAGCACGCGCGGCAAACAAGCGCAGTGTAGCATTTTTAGCGAAAATTGCTACACGGTGAATTTATTTTATTTACATTTTTAGACAACTTTTGGTACCAAATTTATTGAAATCGGAGAAAAAAGTTTTGCGCTCGCGCTTGGCGCTTATTACACTAACTAGCAGCTCAACATGCAACAGTAAATCAGTAAAAAAAAATTATTTTTTATGTATTAAGCAGTATAGGTTTCTCAATATGTATAAAGTATGTATTATGGGTCACAAATTGTGATTTGTGACACTTCAAGTTGGGAAACAACCGCTAGCTTCACTTTTTAACGCGTTTGAGTTAATTGTTAGTGAGAACTAGTGTATACTGTTACTGTTAGTGTCAATTACTAATTACTTAATTACTAATTACAAATCATTAATTAATAATTTGTGTGCTACTGTATACAAATTGTCACACCATTAGTATAGAGAAAGCAGTCAGATGAGTCGTGTTACATTCCAAAGTATAACCGTCTTCTGTAAATGTTGTCGTAACATTATCAGTCTTCCAAGAGAGCGCTGCAAAGTTCGATTTATTTTAGGTTAATCGGTTTTTATGAAGCCTAAAGATAAGGTGTGAGAAGGGATTTTAGAAAGACTTATATAGCCTTCTATTATACATAAAATATATAATTGTAATAGTGAACAAAAATAAGTAAATTGTTTCATATAATAGGTTTCTATTTCTAAATTTCAGTCATTGTAAGTAACCTTACACCGAAGCAGCTCACTTACCTGTTTCATTATAGTAATAGCACAAAGGGTTGTAATACAAACTAAACTTTTTCTTTTCAGTTAGCCTAATTCCGATTGAGATCTCTTGATTCTTGACCTTCTTTAGCCCAGATAACTCGGTTGGCGGCTCAACATCTACCAATTTCGAGACGTAACGTGTATCTGCTAAATAAATACATTATCTTATTGAGAAATCCATCAGGAAAATTCAGATTAAACTGCAAATATCATCAAATACAATCTGCCATGTCCACGAATCCTTCATCAAACAAATTGATTTAGGAAAGTATATTTAAAAAGTAAAAGAGGAAATCGTGAACATTGAACCTTCTAGATTGCTATCGAAATCAGTTTCAGGATCATGGTATAGGGAGACTATAAAGTATTCAGAACCATCGAGAGCAGTTTTGTTATACTTATACTCATTAAGGCCCCTTGGCAGTGTGAGTGTTATTTCAGTATCTTTTACCCCTGAAAGTTATAAAGTGATGAGGAATTTCCCTTATATTATAAGATTACATCAGAGTTGAATGATCCAATTGTGAACTTAAACGTTTGTCGTTTGTTGAAATAGAATTAGATATATCAGCGCTATCCTTCGGCTTAAGGCCAGGTAGCGCAGTTGGTTAGAACGCCAGCTTTGCAATCGTGAGGTTGCGGGTTCAAATCCCACTGTCTGCCTGGTCGTGGGGTGAGCGTCGTTGACGTTCAGCTAAGGATCCTGAGTGGTCTATGCAGCCCCCGGTCTACTCAGCCGAATACTCGATAAATCGGGTGTGAGGGTTAAATGAGGAGCTGCACATTGCAGCAAAGTCTCGGGCGAAGAAAGTATGGTACACACTACCTTAACCGTCACTGGCTAAAAAAATCCTCCGGCTTCCTGTAATTGGCTGGTTGCACTTGTGTAACAATGTAGCTGTTGGAATACTCCGAAGTAAAATAAGTGTCTTGATAAAAAAGAGGGAAAGAATAAACATCTAAATACATTACCCTCTGCCATAGGAAAATCAAGTGTTTCTTCCTTTGCTAGAGGAAACTTAACTTCCCATAAGACCACAGTAACTTTTTTTCCATGGGTGGTTCTGAAGCCATTCTCTGATTGAACATTTTTCATGAAGGCTAGTCTTAGGTCTTTCGCTCTGAGGACAATTTAGATTTGAACTGTTATGAAATGAGATTTTTAATAGAAAATCGTAAAAAATTGACCATTCAAAATGATTTTAAATAACTTGTTATAATTTCGAGATATATTTCACGAGATATTTGATACCAACTGAAAGATTCAGAAAGTTATAACAAACATGCTCCCACATTTTCCGCAACTCAATAGAAACATTCATTGAGGAGCTCATCTGAGTCAATATGATCATAACACCGTTCAGTCTATCGCCACGTTTAAAATCAGATTGGTTATCCTTAAATTCTTGTTGCAGTAACTGTAGCAGTAACTGTGAGTACACTAGACAACGTGTATGTTGCTTCAATGTCAAAGTTACTAGTTGTCCTTGTAACACGTTGATGGAAGTCAGGGTACGGTTGCTTATCTTATTTAGCTTGCAGTCCGACCTTGTGTCGTTTATCCAGTATGTAGTCTAGGAATGGTTTAAAATTAAAACAATGGCGAAACAGCTGGGATATATCACGTTAATTAAAAGACGTTTATTACATTAATTTAGCCATGTTAATTACTGAAAATGTGCAATATCAATCCACAAAAAAATGTCTGATGATAGATACCTTGGAAAGAGATTTAAGCTTGCAATGAGCTGTAATCCCGTCACACGTATCCTTTTCACCAAGAGCAACATTTTCGAAGGTGCAGTTCAGTAACTTGTACTCGCTACAATTTCTCCCTGATAAAAATAGATGTGAAATAACTTGGTTTTAAAGAATTATGGTATGGGTCGAGAATTGGTTGAGATATCTGTGTCAACATGCTACTTTTGCTCCTTTAAAAATGTGTTTTGGGCCAGTCATCTGAAAACCAAGTTTCACAAAACTCCTCAATGCAACAAAACATTTATAAAAAAGTTCTAACCTTTGACGGCGAGGAAATCTAAGTGAGTGTCTCCAATACGAGCATTGGAGGGTACATTATAATCGCTTATAAATGCTTATAAATGGTTATAAATATATATGATACGGCCACGGCCAGGGGTGATTCGGAAGCGTCCTTGTAGGTTTATAACCTACCAGGACCAAGGTTGTTAAATACGTATTAGGAGGGAATACGTATTGGAATACGAATACGTATTAATCCTCAAAAATTGACGTATTACGAAAAGGTGTGATGAGGGTGGTGCGCAGCTGTAATGTTTAATTTTGACAAATCAGCGTATTACGCGTATTATGGCGTATTCGTGGAAATATTTAACAGTCCATAAAAATTACCGTATTACGGCGTATTACGACGTATTCTTTATTAGAACCGAATACGTCGTATTATTTCACGAAAATTTGACGTATTTAACAACCTTGACCAGGACTGATCGCGCCGAGTTGGAGTTGGACTCGTCGACGGTCCTAATATTTGAAACAAATATTTTACGAGTATCACCTGTTAGCTTATAAGCGCTTTCTAATTCCGGGCACTCTCCCGTTCCAAGGTTAATTGAGGGGCATTGAGAAAGCGCTTATAAGCGATTTTCAATTCCGGGCACTCCCCCGTTCCGACCATGCAGGTTAGGGGCAGCATCGAAAAAGCGCTTATAAGCGCTTTGCTAACAGCTAAATTGCAACCCACTTTTAAGCGTTTATAAGCGCTTTGCTAACAGCTAAATTGCAACCCACTTGTAAGCGTTTATAAGCGCTTTGCTAACAGCTAAATTGCAACCCACTTTTAAGCGTTTATAAGCGCTTTGCTAACAGCTAAATTGCAACCCACTTTTAAGCGTTTATAAGCGCTTTGCTAACAGCTAAATTGCAACCCACTTTTAAGCGTTTATAAGCGCTTTGCTAACAGCTAAATTGCAACCCACTTGTAAGCGTTTATAAGCGCTTTGCTAACAGCTAAATTGCAACCCACTTTTAAGCGTTTATAAGCGCTTTGCTAACAGCTAAATTGCAACCCACTTTTAAGCGTTTATAAGCGCTTTGCTAACAGCTAAATTGCAACCCACTTTTAAGCGTTTATAAGCGCTTTGCTAACAGCTAAATTGCAACCCACTTTTAAGCGTTTATAAGCGCTTTGCTAACAGCTAAATTGCAACCCACTTGTAAGCGTTTATAAGCGCTTTGCTAACAGCTAAATTGCAACCCACTTGTAAGCGTTTATAAGCGCTTTGCTAACAGCTAAATTGCAACCCACTTTTAAGCGTTTATAAGCGCTTTGCTAACAGCTAAATTGCAACCCACTTTTAAGTGTTTATAAGCGCTTTGCTAACAGCTAAATTGCAACCCACTTGTAAGCGTTTATAAGCGCTTTGCTAACAGCTAAATTGCAACCCACTTTTAAGCGTTTATAAGCGCTTTGCTAACAGCTAAATTGCAACCCACTTGTAAGCGTTTATAAGCGCTTTGCTAACAGCTAAATTGCAACCCACTTGTAAGCGTTTATAAGCGCTTTGCTAACAGCTAAATTGCAACCCACTTTTAAGCGCTTATAAGCGCTTTGCTAACAGCTAAATTGCAACCCACTTATAAGCGTTTATAAGCGCTTTGCTAACAGCTAAATTGCAACCCACTTGTAAGCGTTTATAAGCGCTTTGCTAACAGCTAAATTGCAACCCACTTGTAAGCGTTTATAAGCGCTTTGCTAACAGCTAAATTGCAACCCACTTATAAGCGTTTATAAGCGCTTTGCTAACAGCTTAATTGCAACCCACTTGTAAGCGTTTATAAGCGCTTTGCTAACAGCTAAATTGCAACCCACTTGTAAGCGTTTATAAGCGCTTTGCTAACAGCTAAATTGCAACCCACTTGTAAGCGTTTATAATCGCTTTGCTAACAGCTAAATTGCAACCCACTTGTAAGCGTTTATAATCGCTTTGCTAACAGCTAAATTGCAACCCACTTTTAAGCGTTTATAAGCGCTTTGCTAACAGCTAAATTGCAACCCACTTGTAAGCGTTTATAATCGCTTTGCTAACAGCTAAATTGCAACCCACTTGTAAGCGTTTATAAGCGCTTTGCTAACAGCTAAATTGCAACCCACTTGTAAGCGTTTATAAGCGCTTTGCTAACAGCTAAATTGCAACCCACTTGTAAGCGTTTATAAGCGCTTTGCTAACAGCTAAATTGCAACCCACTTGTAAGCGTTTATAAGCGCTTTGCTAACAGCTAAATTGCAACCCACTTGTAAGCGCTTATAAGCGCTTTGCTAACAGCTAAATTGCAACCCACTTGTAAGCGTTTATAAGCGCTTTGCTAACAGCTAAATTGCAACCCACTTGTAAGCGTTTATAAGCGCTTTGCTAACAGCTAAATTGCAACCCACTTGTAAGCGCTTATAAGCGCTTTGCTAACAGCTAAATTGCAACCCACTTGTAAGCGCTTATAAGCGCTTTGCTAACAGCTAAATTGCAACCCACTTGTAAGCGTTTATAAGCGCTTTGCTAACAGCTAAATTGCAACCCACTTGTAAGCGTTTATAATCGCTTTGCTAACAGCTAAATTGCAACCCACTTGTAAGCGTTTATAATCGCTTTGCTAACAGCTAAATTGCAACCCACTTGTAAGCGTTTATAATCGCTTTGCTAACAGCTAAATTGCAACCCACTTGTAAGCGTTTATAATCGCTTTGCTAACAGCTAAATTGCAACCCACTTGTAAGCGTTTATAAGCGCTTTGCTAACAGCTAAATTGCAACCCACTTGTAAGCGTTTATAAGCGCTTTGCTAACAGCTAAATTGCAACCCACTTGTAAGCGTTTATAAGCGCTTTGCTAACAGCTAAATTGCAACCCACTTTTAAGCGTTTATAAGCGCTTTGCTAACAGCTAAATTGCAACCCACTTTTAAGCGTTTATAAGCGCTTTGCTAACAGCTAAATTGCAACCCACTTGTAAGCGCTTATAAGCGCTTTGCTAACAGCTAAATTGCAACCCACTTGTAAGCGTTTATAAGCGCTTTGCTAACAGCTAAATTGCAACCCACTTTTAAGCGTTTATAAGCGCTTTGCTAACAGCTAAATTGCAACCCACTTGTAAGCGTTTATAATCGCTTTGCTAACAGCTAAATTGCAACCCACTTGTAAGCGTTTATAATCGCTTTGCTAACAGCTAAATTGCAACCCACTTGTAAGCGTTTATAATCGCTTTGCTAACAGCTAAATTGCAACCCACTTGTAAGCGTTTATAAGCGCTTTGCTAACAGCTAAATTGCAACCCACTTGTAAGCGTTTATAAGCGCTTTGCTAACAGCTAAATTGCAACCCACTTTTAAGCGTTTATAAGCGCTTTGCTAACAGCTAAATTGCAACCCACTTGTAAGCGCTTATAAGCGCTTTGCTAACAGCTAAATTGCAACCCACTTGTAAGCGTTTATAAGCGCTTTGCTAACAGCTAAATTGCAACCCACTTTTAAGCGTTTATAAGCGCTTTGCTAACAGCTAAATTGCAACCCACTTGTAAGCGTTTATAATCGCTTTGCTAACAGCTAAATTGCAACCCACTTGTAAGCGTTTATAATCGCTTTGCTAACAGCTAAATTGCAACCCACTTGTTTATAATCGTTTATAAGCGCTTTGCTAACAGCTAAATTGCAACCCACTTTTAAGCGTTTATAAGCGCTTTGCTAACAGCTAAATTGCAACCCACTTGTAAGCGTTTATAATCGCTTTGCTAACAGCTAAATTGCAACCCACTTGTAAGCGTTTATAATCGCTTTGCTAACAGCTAAATTGCAACCCACTTGTAAGCGTTTATAATCGCTTTGCTAACAGCTAAATTGCAACCCACTTGTAAGCGTTTATAAGCGCTTTGCTAACAGCTAAATTGCAACCCACTTGTAAGCGTTTATAATCGCTTTGCTAACAGCTAAATTGCAACCCACTTGTAAGCGTTTATAAGCGCTTTGCTAACAGCTAAATTGCAACCCACTTGTAAGCGCTTATAAGCGCTTTGCTAACAGCTAAATTGCAACCCACTTGTAAGCGCTTATAAGCGCTTTGCTAACAGCTTAATTGCAACCCACTTGTAAGCGTTTATAATCGCTTTGCTAACAGCTAAATTGCAACCCACTTGTTTATAATCGTTTATAAGCGCTTTGCTAACAGCTAAATTGCAACCCACTTTTAAGCGTTTATAAGCGCTTTGCTAACAGCTAAATTGCAACCCACTTGTAAGCGTTTATAATCGCTTTGCTAACAGCTAAATTGCAACCCACTTGTAAGCGTTTATAATCGCTTTGCTAACAGCTAAATTGCAACCCACTTGTAAGCGTTTATAAGCGCTTTGCTAACAGCTAAATTGCAACCCACTTGTAAGCGTTTATAATCGCTTTGCTAACAGCTAAATTGCAACCCACTTGTAAGCGTTTATAATCGCTTTGCTAACAGCTAAATTGCAACCCACTTGTAAGCGTTTATAAGCGCTTTGCTAACAGCTAAATTGCAACCCACTTGTAAGCGCTTATAAGCGCTTTGCTAACAGCTAAATTGCAACCCACTTGTAAGCGTTTATAAGCGCTTTGCTAACAGCTAAATTGCAACCCACTTGTAAGCGCTTATAAGCGCTTTGCTAACAGCTAAATTGCAACCCACTTGTAAGCGCTTATAATCGCTTTGCTAACAGCTAAATTGCAACCCACTTGTAAGCGCTTATAATCGCTTTGCTAACAGCTAAATTGCAACCCACTTGTAAGCGCTTATAAGCGCTTTGCTAACAGCTAAATTGCAACCCACTTGTAAGCGTTTATAAGCGCTTTGCTAACAGCTAAATTGCAACCCACTTGTAAGCGTTTATAAGCGCTTTGCTAACAGCTAAATTGCAACCCACTTGTAAGCGTTTATAAGCGCTTTGCTAACAGCTAAATTGCAACCCACTTGTAAGCGTTTATAAGCGCTTTGCTAACAGCTAAATTGCAACCCACTTGTAAGCGTTTATAAGCGCTTTGCTAACAGCTAAATTGCAACCCACTTGTAAGCGTTTATAAGCGCTTTGCTAACAGCTAAATTGCAACCCACTTGTAAGCGTTTATAAGCGCTTTGCTAACAGCTAAATTGCAACCCACTTGTAAGCGTTTATAAGCGCTTTGCTAACAGCTAAATTGCAACCCACTTGTAAGCGTTTATAAGCGCTTTGCTAACAGCTAAATTGCAACCCACTTGTAAGCGTTTATAAGCGCTTTGCTAACAGCTAAATTGCAACCCACTTGTAAGCGTTTATAAGCGCTTTGCTAACAGCTAAATTGCAACCCACTTGTAAGCGTTTATAAGCGCTTTGCTAACAGCTAAATTGCAACCCACTTGTAAGCGTTTATAAGCGCTTTGCTAACAGCTAAATTGCAACCCACTTGTAAGCGCCTCGACAGGCAAAGGTCGATAAAAAACCGGGTGCGAGATGCTGGCAACTTCTCCTTTCTAAAAGTTTGCTACTGAAACATTACACCCAAATCAAGGACGGTGTGCCTCTACCTCTGCGAGGTCGGGTGAGACCAAGATGACGGCAACTGGGCAAAGCCTCAGGGACCCCAGTGACCTGATGAGAAGAGTGGTTGCTCGTCATAACAACAGAGTAATTAGTCAACAGATCGCTCATGTTGACACTGATTTCAGCAAGTCCAATCCTATCAACTACAGTAAACACTCAATGTACTTTGGAACCTGGAATGTTTTATCTTTAATCAGCTCATCTTCACAGCTTTATCAATTCAGTCAGAACATTGATCACTACAGTCTTGATATTTTGGGTATTACTGAAACTCATATGCCAGGATCTGGAAGTAAACTTTTGGACAATGGTATTCTACTTATTCATTCTGGTAGGGGAGATGGTATCAAAAGGCAAGGGGTTGGCCTATATCTTTCCAAAAAGGTCAGGAACTCCCTGATCTCTTATGTACATACAACAGAGCGGGCCTTAACAGCTAGGTTACACGGCAAACACCTCAACATATCTGTTGTTGTAGCCTACGCTCCGACTGACGGTGCTGATGACGGAGAGAAAGATCGTTTTTACAACGTTTTATCAGACCCGTTTGGTGAACTGCCCCGACATGATCTGAAACTGCTACTGGGTGACTTCAATGGAAAGGTTACTTCAAACAGATATGGATTCGAGGGAGTTATTGGTGGAGAATCTCTCCATAGTTCATCAAGCGACAATGGGACCAGGCTCATGGATTTCTGTGTAGCTAATCAACTTGTTATTGGTGGAACTCTGTTCCAGCATAGAGACATCCACAAGGGTACATGGCGGTCTCCAAACGGGTTAAATATGAATCAAATAGATCATATTTGTATTAGTGGACGATTCCAACACTCGCTACTCGATGTTAAGGTATGTCGTGTGGCGGACATTGGTTCAGATCACTATCTTGTTCGTGGACGGCTGCAAATCAAACTGCAGTCGGTAGCTAAGATCACTGCTAAAAGGCACGATGTGCCTGCTATCGAACAACATCCGTATTCTGTTATATGGAACACAACAAAGAAGTAGATGAAACTATTTGAGGTCTTCCATCTGACCTCCCTGAGAAGAATCTTGAAGATAAAGTGGTTCTTCTATGTCTCCAACGAAGAAGTTCTCAGGCGTGCTGGAATTTAGTCTATCGAAACTTTCATCAGTGCGGCTAGACTAAGGTGGTACGGACATGTTGTCAGAATGCCAGAGACGCGGTTTCCCAATTTCTTACTGGATTGGAAACCAAACTATGGAAAGAGACTGAGAGGACGACCCCGCAAAGGCTGGATGGCCTGTGTACTCGAGGATGCGGCTGAATTTACAGGTGTCGATAGCATCAGCAGAGATGTAGTAAACAGTTGGCTCTAAAGCGAGTGGAATGGAGAAACATGTTACGCCGTAGAAGAGATGTGTGTGATGCAGGCCACTCCAACGACTAGGAGGAGACCTCTTCATGTAGCATGTATGTATGAGTCTTGACACCACTTTACTTTTAGGGTTAGATTAGACGGGTTCCTGCTAGTATATTAAAGTCACTATTGTGACGGTACATTAGAACTAGACAGAAAGGGCCTGTACGGAACCCCTCGGTTCAGTTCCTTGTTTAACACTGCCGTAGAGCAAGGACCTCTACCGGGTTCTCCAAGGATGGGCACATAGCTCACTCCACAATATGCTAAACACTACGCTCTCCATATATAACTTTGGGAAACCAAGCAACAACTATTTATCATCTATACATATATATATGTGTTGGAAAGTTGCAGTATAGAAACAAAAGAAAATTTAAACGAATTTTAAGCGTTTCTAAGAAAATTGTATACTTACAAACTGCATAGAGATATCTTTCTGGACTTCTTATGGTGATAATTGAAAATACAACAATTTCACAGCTATAGAATCCATCATCACTATGGTCAGAATTCAAAGGTAATGTTTGGTTACTCGAAGTCACCTTCTTTGTTTCGTTAAGAAGTGTTCTTTTGTACCATCTGAGTATTTATATTAAGAATAACACTATTAATATCGTCATGTTGACAATACTAGTCCTTTGTGTAATTTAACTTGTGTTGAATAATCTATTACATTATTGCTAATAGTATCCCGTTCAGAAATGGAATATGTTCATACCATATTGACGGGTTAGGTAATGGTTATCGGAAATATCTGCAGTATATTATATCTTGATAAAACTGTCTGTGCTTATAATAATCACCCAGAAAACACTCTAAGAAACAAACCTATAAGTTATATCCGTGTTGATAAACAGATCATTCAACCTCGGAATAGCGCAGTTCAAGCTCACATTAGACCCCTTTGTCATTCCATATGATCCATCCACTGCAAGCGTGAGGTTATCAGGTAACTTATCTGGGAACATTTCCCACTTATATAAATCACCTGGAGGAATTGTTTTTTAATATTGTGATAGTAAAATAGTATGATGAAATGTTAGAAGCGTTATAACCAGTTCATCTATTCCTAATTGATGACCATACATTATCTTTTCATCAAAAGAACATAACGAAAGTCGTAAAAACGTCAGTCGAACCGTTTTAAACCTGATTGTGAAGAATAGCATTTGTAGGAAGATGTCCAGTTCGGTTGGTCCTTCTCACAGGCAGTAACTTCAAAGAATAATATGCAGGATCCTCCTCCTTCTTCAAACGACTGGTAGGAGAGATGATTATCTGGCTAATTTCAGGGTCACGATCCATTTAATGATAATGGTACTTTATTATTATTGAGGTAATGTGTCTGTTTAAAGCTCCAGTTTGGACTCTGACCCAATAAACAGCACCAGTTCACAAGTTTCATAGCATATATTTAGTTTACTTTTGTCAGTTACATAATTTGAAAGCAAGATTTTACTTCGCATGTTGTTTAGAAGCCTGAACTAAACATATTGTTAATTTGTAAATTTACCTCAAAAGAAATACCATTACACTTATCTTCAGACCACATGCAATATATTGCACACGTGTTAAAGTCTCTAGCAGAAAGTTTAACTATCTGTTTTCCAGTGAATTGTATCTCGTCCAGTTCGCATTTTTTTGTCTACTGGGAGCTTGCATATCGCTAAAGTCAATCCAAGCAATGCTGAAATAATTTAGTCAAGTAAAAATAACAAAAATAATAATATGAAACGTTGAGATTGAGGATTTTCAGCAGCTGTTATTCAACATATTTTAAAACTTTATACCTGTATTGTAGAATAGCATCCGCCATAAAGCTTGTATCATCTCCCTTCACCATTCAATCGCTGATTATTGTTAACATCATGATGACTAAAACCTCGTCTTAAAACAAAACATCGATTCAAAAAATTCCAAATTGTTAATAAACGGCTCTTATTTCAGCAACTTGCACTCAACTGCTTAAAAAGAGGGAAGCTCACAATTTTGGCCGTTTAATTTTGGTTGCTCATAATTGTGTTATTCGTTATTTCGGAACTTAGGACCAATACTATTTACAATAGTCTCACAGCCTTTATGCGTACAATAATATCCTATGACTGACACAGAACGTACTGTCTTACTGTGTAATTATTTGCCGACATTGGTACGATGGTTCTTAATCTTCACAGTAATTCGTGCTTCGTTTTATTGAGCTTAATGTACAAAGTGCGGTCCAAAATTTATATCTAAAAACCTCTTAAAACATTCATTTGAGCAATTTGCTCTACTATGCTCTTAATTAGGGCCGTCAATAACAGGTTGTTGCGTTCAAATTAGGCTGGTAAGGTAGTTACTCTGGACAAAAATTTAAAGGATTTTAATGCCAAGACAAACACTTAAATATGCCAAGAATTCGTATATTGTTCCACGGAAAAAGAACAAGGCTCTAAAACCTGAAGGGGGATATTTAAAACATATAAGTGATAAGAAAGATTGTATTAGCAGTGGGCTCTGAAAGTAAAGGATTTCTGATAATTATGAACTAAGCGCAGATCAAACTATTTTTATTTTAGGAGTAAAACACATATTTTGAGATGATAATTTTCAGCATCTGGCCGGTGCCCCTTTCACACATCAGTGAGCAACTATAACTTAACAAAATGAAATGTTCGACTTCAGCCGCGGAGGAGAATCATACATGCAACTATTTAAAAAAATAGACAATACCACTTAAGGTACAGAAATAATCGGCCATTATAACGCTCATTATCTATTGTCAATTATACAATGGGTCTGAGATATATGGATCTTTGTCCCGATTTAGAGGGTCGGCTCTTTTTAAATTCAACGCAGGTTCTAATAATTCCAACTTTTGGTATGAATATGAATTATTTTATGTCGAAATTTGAAGACAATAGTTGATAATATCGCACATAATGAGAAGTTTCCACTCTTCGGCTGATGAAAGTTTACAACTCTCTCAATGTTATTGGACTTAAGTACTACTACTACTACTACTACTACTACTACTACTACTACTACTACTACTACTACTACTACTACTACTACTACTACTACTACTACTACTACTACTACTACTACTACTACTACTACTACTACTACTACTACTACTACTACTACTACTACTACTACTACTACTACTACTACTACTACTACTACTACTACTACTACTACTACTACTACTACTACTACTACTACTACTACTACTACTACTACTACTACTACTACTACTACTACTACTACTACTACTACTACTACTACTACTACTACTACTACTACTACTACTACTACTACTACTACTACTACTACTACTACTACTACTACTACTACTACTACTACTACTACTACTACTACTACTACTACTACTACTACTACTACTACTACTACTACTACTACTACTACTACTACTACTACTACTACTACTACTACTACTACTACTACTACTACTACTACTACTACTACTACTACTACTACTACTACTACTACTACTACTACTACTACTACTACTACTACTACTACTACTACTACTACTACTACTACTACTACTACTACTACTACTACTACTACTACTACTACTACTACTACTACTACTACTACTACTACTACTACTACTACTACTACTACTACTACTACTACTACTACTACTACTACTACTACTACTACTACTACTACTACTACTACTACTACTACTACTACTACTACTACTACTACTACTACTACTACTACTACTACTACTACTACTACTACTACTACTACTACTACTACTACTACTACTACTACTACTACTACTACTACTACTACTACTACTACTACTACTACTACTACTACTACTACTACTACTACTACTACTACTACTACTACTACTACTACTACTACTACTACTACTACTACTACTACTACTACTACTACTACTACTACTACTACTACTACTACTACTACTACTACTACTACTACTACTACTACTACTACTACTACTACTACTACTACTACTACTACTACTACTACTACTACTACTACTACTACTACTACTACTACTACTACTACTACTACTACTACTACTACTACTACTACTACTACTACTACTACTACTACTACTACTACTACTACTACTACTACTACTACTACTACTACTACTACTACTACTACTACTACTACTACTACTACTACTACTACTACTACTACTACTACTACTACTACTACTACTACTACTACTACTACTACTACTACTACTACTACTACTACTACTACTACTACTACTACTACTACTACAGAATCATTATAAAAGTAGCCTCAGCAACAGCTATATAAAAACATACTATTAGTAAAGGATTCACTGCTGTAAAGTATTATTTAATTTTATACGGTCAATGGTAAGTCTCAATAATTTAACAAGTTCGAATGGTGCATGCAATTGGCAAAATTCTCTTACACTTCATTGGCCAAACGAAAATTAAAACTCTTGAGATCAGGAACGAGTGAAAGTTGAAAACATTTATGACTACATAAAAGATATAAGGATAATGAACAAAAATGTACGATCACAAGCACGATATTCGAATAAATATTATTAACGATATTTAAAATTCGAATAGCAGCAGGCATTACAGAATGTTTTGTCTTGTGGTGAAGGTAGTATTTAGGGAGGAAAAATTGTTATTTCACAAAGCTGAAACGTGATCGATTTAATTAATGTAAAAGCTTGGTATACTCGCAATTGTAATATTAGTATTTCAATTAAATCACCGTGCGATTATTTACTGAAACCTCCAAAAACTTCCGAATAGCATGTGGTCACGATGTTCATTCGAAGTAGTTAGTAGTAGTTAGTAGATTAACTTTATATTATCTTGATTCCATTCGAAATTAATAGTTACTACAATTTTAGAACGATGTTATTTTCGAAAATGTATGGCCGATGGCGTCATGCTGAAGCTTATACGCTCGTTAAAATTACGTTATCTATATTTATTTCCATTATCTGAACACTAATATTGGTAGTCATCAAATATACCACTTGATGACGTCATCAATACGCCCAAATCGGCGAAACATTGCTATTTTCACCATTTTCTGTCAACCTTGGAGTGCCGTCGTGATATAAGTTCTTCTTGAAATCTATTGAAACTTTGCATGCGTACTAACTTATATATGAACTACACACATTATAAAATTTATGGTGATTCAATATTGGATGCGCACGCAACGTCCGCTTATCGTTGGCACGTGCAAAAGGTGAGAATTCTGCTCATTCGTGATTTTGATTAGATTTTGCTTTCCCACGACAGTTAAATGACATATTACATAAATTTGATACCAACTTGAATGAGTATAAATTGGCATATTCAGTCAATGATCGACAGATATGCTGACTCAAAAAGGTAAAATTTCAAAATTGTTGAAATTATCTCCTTATTGATGAAGTTATCAGTTTTACATTCCGACTTTGTCAAGGACCCTGAAATCAACCAAAAAGAGATGATACCAAAACTCATAATCATTGGTAGAGTGGACCACTGCCAGTGTTTCCCTTTCCAAAACAAAAGGAATTGATATTAATTTGAATTCATTCACGGCTTACGAATAGTAATCAGTTTTGGTTTATTACATCAATTACACTCTGTAAAAATCCATTTGGGTCGCTTTCGGGCCCATGGTACTTCGGGATAAGGGCGGTAATTAGTGTCCAATTAGCTGAGTTTTATCGAATCGTTATTGCTGAGTACAGCTGCCTCCGGTGTAGTGCTCCACTTTACCCATGATTATTGGTTTTGGTAAAATAGTTTCATAATACTTAAATAAATCATAAATCTTCATTACGAAAAGTGGTCAAAATATTTACACTTATTAAGATATCCTAAGCAAGTTCTATCACAATATCAACAAAAGAACAAAGATAAATAAGATTTTGATATGCAGCTATACCAGATATATTCAAAAACTATTTATAGAAATAAATCATATGAAATGATAAATAAGGTGTCATTCTGTCCCGGATCTTATAAGTGCTCTCAAAGAATCCATTCTTCTAACTGAGAAAGTTTAGTGGTAATCGGAGTTTGGGGCTTTATTTCCAGTGAAGTTTTAGGAGTCAACCTTGCCTTGAACTTAGCACCATTTTTTAGTGTTGACAATTGATCTATTTCCGCTTTGGGAGTTTGTTTTAGAGTTTGTTTTCTCTTGAATTTTACAACTTCACTCTGTGGTGGGGGCGTGGGTGTTATTTTTCCTCGGCCTCTGATCAGATCTAGAGGAGAAGCGGACCTTTTTCCGGAGGCATACGAACTTGAATCAGGACTGCTGCTGTTTAATACGAATAGTCGTTGCTCCAAGTTAAGCTCAATCTCAGCTAATTGCTGACTTTGCTCCTCTACTCGCATATGCTGGCTTCTTATTATCTTCTTTCCTGCAATGATTACTTTATCTTTATTCGCGGTCGCGACCGTGGAAACTTCTTTTCTTTAGCTTAGGTCCGTCATGGCGTTCAGGACTTATGGCTGCCACTGCATCTCTAATCTTTGTCTGGGCATTAGCAAAACTTTTCGGTAAAGTTGATCTCTTGGGATTGTTAGTGTTAGTTTCTTGAGCTTCCAGGAACTCGAAATAGCTGGGAACAGGGTCACCCGGAGGAGTTAAATCGTGCCCTGACTGGTCTCCAAGTGAGGATCGGGAGCTGAAATGATGAAGTGATCAATAAAATAGTTTTACAATTAAAATACGTACGCCGGGCCGAATATTTTAAAAATCACCAAGCCTTAATTTGGCATCCAAATAAAAGTTCTTTAACTGAATTTGTAGTATGAAAATCGGCCCATGATGTTTTGTCGTTTACAAATAATTCTTTAGCAACAAGTCCACAATATTTTAATATATACATGTCGTATCATAAACGTAGGAAAATAGTAAGTTGTAAAATTAAATGACGTGATCTGAATCATAAAATGTACTACTTACCAACGGAAACATACCTTAACATCTTTTTCCGTACTATTTTAACAGGCTCCAGTGAAGGACTAGCAACGGAGCTTTCCTTTTCTTCAAGTGGCTCCAGCGATGCTTTCTTCATTAGAGCCACCGCTGTTTGCATACCTACGTTGTAAGAGATCGTGGGTCAGTAAAAACATTGAAGGCTTCCAAATAAATAAATTCGTATAAGAGAGTCCTGCTAAGTCCTGCTAAGTCCTGCGAAGTCCTGCTAAGTCCTTTATATTACGCGATTAATTGGTTATCGTGATAAGTTTATTAAAAAGTTAAAACAAACCGGCAGTTAGGGAATCTTTGCTGTCAGTCCTTTGGCGAGTCAGCTGCTTTGTCAGACTCAACTTGGTGACGGTGGTGGAGAGGGTTACTATGGAGCTTCGTTTTTGGAACATCCCGGTAAATAAATCCAGTCTGCTTTTTGTTGGAGTATTTGATCTGGAATCATTTCTGATGTGAATAGGTGTTGATATATTCTTGTACCTGCGAAAGCCTCCTAGATATGACTGCAGCTTCAAAAGACCGCAAATAAACTGTGACGGAATTTTGTTAAAAAGACAAAAGTCTATGCGTAAATTTACCATGATATTAGAATTTGATGTATAAATTAATATCCGGCTATTTGTTTTAACAGTTGGAGATGCATGTTGTTATTTAGCGGACGCCTTCGAGACTTACTTTAGAGTAAAAGTCACATGGAGATTAGGATGTTTCGAATTAGGAAAGTTGTAAAATAAGTTGTTGTGCTCTTGCAGGGAATAGAAGTAAAAGATAACAGCCTGTCAAAGAATCTGATAGTTTGTAGTTTGTAGGTTGTAATATTTGAAATATTTGGATCTGATAGTTTGTAGTTTGCAGGTTGTAATATTTGAAATATTTGGATCTGATAGTTTGTAGTTTGCAGGTTGTAATATTTGAAATATTTGGATCTGATAGTTTGTAGTTTGCAGGTTGTAATATTTGAAATATTTGGATCTGATAGTTTGTAGTTTGCAGGTTGTAATATTTGAAATATTTGGATCTGATAGTTTGTAGTTTGTAGGTTGTAATATTTGAAATATTTGGAATATTTGGAATATTTAAAATATTTGTAATATTTGAAATATTGTCCCCGCAGGTGATACCAGTGAAAAAGTAACGGTGAAACGACAAGCTCAAATTTATTTTTTCGACTTACAGTTTAAGTTTTGGAGTAACAGTTTTTACTTGTTAGTATCGGTTTTATTAAACTTAAAGCCGCAAAGTGTGAATATTTCCATGCACAGTTTAAATACATACATGGAAGTTCATGGTACATAGATATTAGACAAGCACTGCCGTTTAAAGACACTTTAATGGCGCACACTTCATCAATAATTACTTATTTTCAGTATTGGAGCAGTTATAAGACTATATTCAACTGCATTCATTATGTTGATCTTTTGAAGCTGACTTTAAAAACCGCTAATCATAATAGTAATATATGTGTATGATACAGTAAAACCCCGATTTACTGCTGAGTTTGGGGTAAGGAAACAGCCGCGGTAAATCGGGGAACGCGGTTAATCGGGGTTTTGATTGTTCACGTCATATTGATGTTATATATTAAACTCTGATCAGACTCTGAAGATCAAATCAGCCCCAAATGGTAGTGATGTTAGTGGAGATAGGAGAGAAGTTAGAAAGATTCAGATTAGCATTTCTAAGAGACTTTTGCAAATAAATAACATGAAGGCTGACGCTCTAGCAGAAGAAATAAATAACACTGACGATGCTAGAAAGATGTTTGAAGCTTCAAGATCTTTAGCTGGAATAAGAAAGTCGGGTAACATAGTGGTCAATGATATCAACAACAACCCTATTGGTACTGATTTAGGGAAAGCAAACAAAGCGAAATCTTTCTTCGAAAAACAACTAACAGAAGGAGTTGAAGCTGGCCTGCAACCTTTTACCTGCGATCCAAAACCACTTGATAACCCCATCACACCATTTGAAGTTAAACTTGCTGCAAGTAAACTCAAATCAAACCGTGCCAGTGGTCCAGATAATTTCCAGAATGAGCTGATAAAGTACGCCCATCCAATCACTTTTGAGAAGTATGCTGAGGCAATTAACGAGTCATTTAGTGGGAACAAATACATAAGTTCGATAGGACAAGGTATTGTGACTCCTCTACAGAAGCCCGGTAAACCTAAGGGTCCCCTCACAAGCCTTAGACCACTTACACTGTTAAACGGATCGAGGAAGATGCTCACTCAAATTGCCTTAAAACGGGTTGAGAGTAGAATTGACAACTACACCATGCCATGGCAGAGTGCTTACAAGAGAGGTAGGAGCTGCTCTGACATTGTGTGGGCTCAGAGAATGCTCATATCTGTTGTGATGAGGAAGAAATGGACATTTAGCAAAATGGGTATTGATATGAGTAGAGCTTTTGATACCGTGAAAAGGGACACTATCATCAATGTTTTGAAAGATGCTGGTTGTTCGGAGGACGACATTCGTTTAGTTCAATACCTTCTATCGAATACTCTCCTTAGAGTTCGTGTTAACTCCTCACTGTCGGAAGAGTTTGAAAGTTTACTCGGAGCCTTTCAAGGTGACAGTTTATCTGGAAAGCTATTCACACTTATTCTTGCAGCAGCCTTACACCACCTCAGAGCTGTATCTGGGAGACCAAACCCACCAGTATCAGAACTAGGTTTTCCAACTGAGTGGGAATATTCAGACGATTGTGACTTTGCTGACGAGGACATCGAGAAACTGAGAATTTTCCTTCCTACAGTGAAGGAGATTCTCAAAGACTGGAACCTCCAAGTAAATGAAAGTAAAACTGAATTCAGTACCTTCTACCTAGCGAAAAAATCTGATAAAGATACAAACGGTCAGCCATTAGCTAATAACGAACCATGGCGAAGTAACAAGTCACTAGGTTCCTTACTGTGTACTGAGAAGGACATTCAAAGAAGAAGAATCCTAGCTGAGATTGCTTTTAAGAACTTTGAAAAAGTTTGGCTGTCTGGTAAGAAAATATCCCTTGAAAGAAAGCTGAGGTTATACGATGCTCAAGTTGTATCTGTATTGATTTACAACTCAAATAGTTGGAGTCCTAAGAAAGCAACCATGGAGAAAATGGACACACTCCATCGTAGACACCTCAGGTCCATTTTAAACATCAAATGGCCTAAAGGTATGATAAGCAACAAAGCATTGTATGAAAGGTGCAAAGTCGAAAAGTTATCCAAGCGTATTGAACACCAGCGGTGGAAGATGTTTGGACACATTCTCAGGAGTATGGAGAACACCCCAGCCCAAACGGCTCTCTCATTTGCTATTGAATCAGATAATTTATTCATTGGAAGATTGGGGAGACCTAGAATGAACTTGTTATCGGTTCTAAGAAGTGATTTAAATAGTAGAAATTTGCAAATGGACAACTTGTATGAGTTGAACGAAATTAGAGATATAGCTGCATGCAACAGATGTTGGGAAAATCTTTTTCAAGGGTACAGTTTAACGCATTAAGGTATTTTTAAGAATCATTTTTGTCGGTAAGATCCTGTTTTATAATATAATAATATATTAAACTCTTTTTTGGGGTAAGAAAATGGCCGGAGATTTACTGTATGCTTTAAAGAATGCTGCTTATGATTGCGGTTTGTCCCAATTGCTTAAAGATATTTAAAAAAAAGAAAATAGCTTTTAACTGCATGAATGGAGTAAATGTAACTGAGAAGATATTGTGACCAAACATTTTAACACAATTTGGTAAATTAGTAAATAATAAATACACTATAGAGTAAGGCTACAAATTAGGAGTTGAACACGGATTTAAGATAAATACGTTAAGAAGATAAAATCAATAGATTGATTAGTTTAAAACCTGCTACTGGGTGTACTTTTAGATTCCTTCCCAATGTTGCAGAAGAAATACAACCACTTCTGGTAAATGTCCGGTTTGATTGCACAGTGAAAGATGAAAATCAGGACTCCTACAGAATAAAATTTTCAAAATAAATCTAGAAATGACATTATGGCATCATTAACAGACAATGGAGATTTTTCATTTTGCTAGTTGTGGCAATGTAAATTTTGTTAGATAATGATGACATGATAAAGTATTTTGAAATCATAGATTTTGAAGGTTTATATGACCTACCTTGCAGAGTATTGCAGACAGTAAACAGATAGTGAAATGCAATATTAGCGGGATGGTCGAACACCAAAAACCCCAGCACCCAGGCGAGACCCAAAACACACGACAAAGTACAAACAGCCTTCAACTGTGAGATTATTTTCTGTACTTTACTCTCGAAATGCTGGTATCTTCCTTTCTTGAAGATTTTGGCGACAACAGCGATGAAGATACCCCCGTTTACTATAATCGATACACCTGTGGAATGATTAGCCAGTAATTAGCGCACTGTTTAGCAAGTAATTTATTAAAGAGATTGTAACAATTATTTAATTAGGTTTGTTAAACTGTTTATAGTGTTGCTATTAACCAATAAAATATTCCTCATAACCAATAAAATAGTGGCCATCAGTTCCCGTGACATCTCTACAAACCTACCAATTGGAATATAGAAAGCGAAGTATAGCATTGGTATGTTGTTCTCGTTGGAATTCCGAAGCAGACAAACTGTCTCGTCAGTATAACTGTCATAAGATATTCCGGCAGTTAAACCAACAATCAGTCCCGGTATCACAAATACCATTATCGCTGAAAGATTTGAAACATTCATGAAACTAACAATAACATCTTCTTAAAACTATTCTAGTGTGAATATCATTTCATTTAAAGTGACAATATTCTGAATTTCTGAGGCAAGATACAGAAAAAAAGAAACCTAATTTCATTATAAATCTGGAGCTTCTAGCTTGAAGGATCCTGATGAAGAGCAACCAGAGATTGTAAGATTCCCCCACAGTCCACATAAACATAGTTAACCACAAGTAATGTAGAGCTATAGCTATAGCTTTACAGAGGTGCTCGTTCATGCCATCATAATGTTTTGCTCCTGCGGTGAGTTACAAGTTGAGAACAATTTTCATAACAACCATATTTCCTGGTACTCCGCCTAACGACAGCTAATTCACATCGTTATTTTTCTAAGTTATCATTGTTTAAAAGTTTACACGATAATTCCACACCCCTCCCCAGTCCCCAACACCTAATAATAATTTCCACACACTTACCTCCCAGGAAGAGGAGCATGGCAATTAACATGGTTGTAGCCAGGCAGATGTGAATCTTGTTAGAAGGAGACCGTCTGATGTCCTTGAACCAAGTGAGGGCTATGAGAGTGAGCACTAGAGCAAAACACGACATTCCCCCGCACACGTAGGTTAGGTAGGATAGTATACTGTCGTGCGGGGAAGGTAGTTTCGTGCTCTGGAGAGGAGAGGTTGTTATTTAGTGATGATTTAGTTTGTTACTTTGAAACGTAGGCAGCTCAAGTTTAAATACATAACGACAAATCAGTAAACAAACTTATTCTTTATGTATTAAGCAGTATAGGTTTCTAAATATGTATAAACCTATAAAGTATTATGTGTCACGAATTGTGACACTTCAAGTTGGGAAACAACCGTTAGCTTCACTTTTTAACTCGTTTGAGTTGTCAGTGAGAACTAGTGTATACTGTTAGTGTCAATTACTAATTACTAAGTACTTAATTACTTAATTACTTAATTACTTAATTACTTAATTACGTAATTACTTAATTACTAAATTACTAAATTACTTGATTACTTAATTACTTAATTACTTAATAACTTAATTACTTAATTGCTTAATTGCTTAATTGCTAATAACTAATTAATTAAACACCAATTAATAATTAGTGTGCTACTGTATACAAATTGTCACACCATTAGTGCAGAGAATGCAGTCAGATGAGTCGTGTTACATTCCAAAGTACCGTCTTCTGTAAATGTTGTCGTAACTCCATCAGTCTTCCAAGAGAGCGCTGCAAAGTTCGATTTATTTTAGGATATTCGGTTTTTATAAAGGCTAAAGATAAGGTAGGAAAGTGTTTTTAGAAAGGCTTCTATAGTCTATAAATAAAATATATTGCAATAGTGAACAAAAATAAGTAAATTGTATCATATAGATACCTTATTTTTCAGTCATCGTAAGTAACCTTACACCGAAGCAGCTCACTAACCTTCTTCATCATACCAATGGCACAAAGGGTGGTAGTTCAAACTAAACTTGTTCTTATCAGTTAGCCTAATTCCGATTGAGATCTCTTGATCCTTCTTTAGCCCAGATAACTCGGTTGGCGGCTCAACATCTACCAATTTCGAGACGTAACGTGTATCTGTTAAATAAATACATTATCTTATTGAGAAATGTATCAGGAAAATTCAGATTACACTGCAAATATTATCAAATACAATCTGCCATGTCCACGGATCCTTCATTAAACATTTAGGAAAGAGGAAATTGTGAATGATGAACCTTCTAGTTTGCTATTGAAATCAGTTTCAGGATCATGGTATAGGGAGACTATAAAAGATTGAGACCCCGCGAGAGCAGTTATGTTATTGAGGCCCCTTGGCAGTGTGATTTTTATTTCAGTCTCTTTTACCCCTGAAAGTTATAAATTGGTGAGGAATTTCCCTTATATTAAAAGATTACATCAGAGTTGAATGATCCAATTGTGAATTTAAACGTTTGCTGAAATAGAATAAGACATATCGAAGGGAAAGAATAAACATTTAAATACATTACCCTCTGCCATAGGAAATTTAAGTGTTTCTTCCTTTGCTAGAGGAAACTGAACTTCCCATAAGACCCTAGTAACCTTCTTTCCGTGGGTGGTTCTGAAGCCATTCTCTAATTTAACATTTTTCATGAAGGCTAGTCTTAGGTCTTTCGCTCTGAGGACAATCTAGATTTCAACTGTTATAGATAATGAGATTTTTATGTTTTTTAAATCGTTAAAAATTTACCATTCAAAATAATTTGAAATGATTTGTTATAATTTCGAAATGTTCACAAAATATTTGATACCAATTGCAAGATTCAAAACGTTATAAAAAATGTGCTCCCACCTTTTCCGGAAATCAGAAGAAACATTCATTGACGAACTCATCTGAGTCAATATGATCAAAGCAGCGTTCAGTCTATCATCATGTTCATAATAAATTTGGTTATTCTCAAGTTCTTGTAGCAGTAACTGCGAGGACACTAGACAAAGTTCATTCTTTGCTGTGTCGACGTTCAATGTCAAATTTACTAGTTGTCCTTGTAACACGTTGATGGAATCCAGGCTAAGGTCGCTTATCTTTTTTAGCTTGCAGTCCGACCTTGTGTCGTTTATCCAGTATGTAGTCTAGGAATGGTTTAAAATTAAGACAATGGCAAAGATGCTAATTACATTGTAAAACAAACTCAGCTATCACGTTAATAACAAATGTATGTTATATTAATTTAGCCATATTTGTTAATGACAATGTGCAGAATCAATCAATATCTATTAAATTGCCTGAAGATTGATTTATTTGATACCTTGGAAAGAGATTTAAGCTTGCAATGAGCTTTAATCCCGTCACATGACGTATCCTTTTCACCAAGAGCAACATTTTCGAAGGTGCAGTTCAGTAACTTGTACTTGCTACAATTTTCCCCTGGTATAAATAAGTGTGAAATAACTTGATTTTAAAGAATAATGGTATGGTAACAATCTGTTTTAACTCTTTTGAGTGGGTTGATCATTTAATTAATGTTTTTGGACAAAGTGAGAATATCCACTCAGTTTTTTAAACAAAATATAGTTGTCGACGTTTCGGCCCACGCCTTTGTCAAGGACGTCTCTCCATGACAAAGGCGTGGGCCGAAACGTCGACAAATATTTGTTTGAAAAACTGAGTGGAGACTCTCACTTTGTCCCAAAACATCAATTAAATAATGGTATGGGGCGAGAATTGGTTGAGATATCTGTGTCAGTATAACACTTTTGCTTCTTAAAAATATGTTTAGGGCCAGAAAACCAAGTTTCACAAAACTCCTCAATGCAACAAAACATTTCTAAGAAAGTTCTAACCTCTGACGGCGAGGAAATCTAAGTGAGTGTCTCCAATACGAGCATTGGAGGGTACACTGTGTGAAGCAAACATATACTTCTCTTTTTCTCGTAATATCTCACCCTCCTATTATAGATATCAAAAAAGGTTTTATTCGATTATACAGCTTTGAAGTTTACGTTTATTTTGATTTCATACTTGATAACTGCACTATATGATCGCACGTGATATAAAAAGAATTGTGTGGATTTCAGTAACATACTTTAAATAGTGGACCAGCACTTGATTTCAATAAGATATCAGACAGCTCATTCATATCCGGGTTTAAATTCAGCATGAACGTCTTCTCTATGAAATCTTCGACTGAAATTATGTGGTGCGTTAAATTTAATTTGAGGCAAGCGAATTGATTACATTTTAAAAATTAATTAAAATTCCCCTATTTACTTGGATGCCAGCAAGAAAAGTTCGACGAACTTTACACCAAAACATCTGAATCTTAATTCTAGAAAGAATAGAGTACTCACATTGTGAAACCAAAGTAGTAAATAGAAAATTACGAATCAATATAATTTAACCTCACCAACCTCGCGGTGGAAACCTAATTTTCAAACTTTCCCTCCCCGCAGAGCAGGTAACTCCTTGCAGATCCTTTCTCTGTAGCTCGAGTATTTTTTCTGGTGACAGCATTAAAACTTGATTACCCTCCATAATGTCAACACCGTCGCCCTCGACTACTTCTCTACTGCCTGAAAGAAATATATTATGTGGTTATTGCTATATTTTTAATATGAAAGTATAAAGCAATGGTTTAACACCTTGTTCAGGCCATTCAATAATTCTTATTTTTAAATGGTAATTTTAGTAAATACAAAAGAAGTTGTAATCATGGAATTATAAAAAGAATGTGCAAAGCTTACTATACCTGCAAACGTCCAAGTTATTTCAACTCCGATACTTTCAATGAAAAAACATCGAAATATTTTTTCTTCTTCACTCCAAACTCCGTTTTTATCCTGTCCCTGACAATCAAGGTAGTATGAAATAATGTAAATTATTTGACTATATTTTAAAATAATTAAAGAAGGATTTAAGTTAACATATTATAATCTTGATACACATATTACATAGTACGTATAACCTTTAATTTAGTCAAGCCATCTTCAAGGTTAGCTCCAGCAAGATGTGTCGTTAGGGAATTCCAGTTTTTGGGAACGTCAGCTGAAAAATATTATTATAAAGGAATATTTTTCATCAAGACTTAAAATCTGGGACTGAGTTTGTCAACAAAGAGCGGGGCGTATTTCGAATCAAAAGCTTACATTTTTATTAGGCGAAACCAACCTTTGTTATCCGCGTAGTCATCGTTATCTTCAGTGCATCCAGAGCAGTAGAGATGAACTGGAGGACTTTCTACGCTTTCTTTCAGCATCATGTTTTTTGCTGATGTTTTGATTTTCGATAAAGAATTAATAAAGTACTAAAGACTAGAGAGTTTAATGGTAAAATATAATGATATTTAAGTGGTCTTTATTTCAGCAACGATGATGCGGAACTGTAATTCATTACATAAATCGAGCGAAGCAATCAGTAGCGTCAACTTCTATAAGTAAAGGTCTACACCTTTACAGGGCTTAACTCCTATATCTCACCTTTGCAAAAGTAGTAGGCTTGTACAGTCTTTTTAGTTGGATTTAAAATAACTAAGTTGCCATCAACTATCACATAGTTCAATTTCTTTACTTCGCTGATGCGTTCTGAAAATGATACGAAGATCTATCTACCGACTATATGGTGTATATAAATTTATTGAGCATGACCAACAAAAAAGGCCGATTAGTTAAAAACTAACTATATTGATAATAATTATACATAAATACCTATGTTTCATTCCACCAACTAATATGTAATTACCGTGATGTTTTATGTGATTCTTGAAGTAGAACCACTCCACTATAGCTGGTGGATTACTATCCGGAGGTTTACAATTTAGAACCACATACTTGTCTCCTCCGGAAAATGTTGTCTTCGTTGGTCTGTTTAGATTTTTCGCCAAATCTGATGACAAGACTTTTTGCAGATTTACGAAAAAAACTTTCAAGTTAAAAACTTTGATCTTGAGTTGTATTGGCAATATATGTAATAGCGATGGATGATGATTGATGATATATAAATATACATGTTGGAAAGTTGCAGTATAGAAACAAAAGAAAATTTAAAGAAGCTTTTTACTTTTTAGTGTTTCTAGGAAAATGTTATACTTACAGACTACATAAAGATATCTTTCTGGACTTCTTATGGTGATATTTGAAAATACAACAATTTCACAGCTATAGAATCCATCATCACTATGGTCTGATGATGGACGTCGAACTGAATTCAAACGTAATTTTTGGTCACTCGGAGTCTGTTCAATCTTTATTTCGTTAAGAAGTGTTCTTTTGTACCATCTGAGTATTGGATTAAGAATTACACTATTAATATCGTTATTGACAATACTAGTCATTTGTGTAAATTAACTTGGGTTGAATAATCTGTTACAGTTTTGCTAATAGTATCCTGTTTAGAAATGGAATATGTTCATACCATATTGACGGGTATGGTAATGGTTATTGGAGATATCTGCAGTATGAACTATGAATAGTTATCTTGATAAAACCGTCAGTGCAATTATATTAATCACTCAGAAAACATTCTAAGAAACAAACCTGTAAGTTATATCCGTGTTGATAAACAGATCATTCAACCTCGGAATAGTGCAGTTCAAGATCACATCAGAATCCTCTTCCATTCCATATGATCCATCCACTGCAAGCGTGAGGTTATCAGGTAACTTATCTGGGAACATTTCCCACTTATATAAATCACCTGGAGGAATTGTTTTTTAATATTGTGATAGTAAAAAAGTATGATGAAATTTTAGAAGCATTATAATCAGTTCATCTATTCCTAATTGATGACCATCAGGGACAAAAGGATTTCGCGGCATGTACGAAACCGCGAAATTTCCCATTCTCCGCGACAAATCGCGATTTTTTACGTTTTCCGCGACAGATCGCGAAATTTCCCATTCTCCGCGACAAATCGCGATTTTTTCAGTCCTCCGCAAAAAATAGCGCATTTTCCTTTAAATCTGAAGACCAAATTTGCGCATTTTCCTTTAAATCTGAGGATTAAGTTTGCGTATTTTCCATAAAATCTGCGGGCCAAATGTCACGTTTTCTACAAGTATTAAGTATATGAAACTAATCACATTTACAGCCTTCCGTGAGTTCCGATTGTAGGTACATTCTCGATACGTACCTCTGAAGGCGGAGCTTCCGAGCTTCCGGAGCTTCCGAGGTTGTATTGCGAAGGGAAGGCCTGCCTTCCAAGATCGCATTACAAGGGGAGCCCTCGAGTCCAAAATCGTGTATCGAAGCGTATGTGACCTTTGAAAACCGAAAAAAATTTTTTCGGCTCATAATGATCAGGGTAGCATGAAACATGAACAAAAGTAGTTTCCAGAAAAACTTTGAAAAATTTTGACTTAGAAGATTTTCGGTCCGAGTCATTCTCGAAACGTACCTCTGAAGGCGGAGCTCCCGCTTCCGAGCTCGTATGGCGAAGGGGAGGCCTGCCTTCCGAGATCGCATTACAAGGGGAGCCCTCGAGTCCAAAATCGTGTATCGAAGGGTATGTGTGAACTTTGAAAACCGAAAAAATATTTTCGGCTCATAATGATCAGGGTAGCATGAAACATGAACAAAAGTAGTTTCCAGAAAAACTTTGAAAAATTTTGACTTAGAAAATGTTCGGTCCGAGTCATTCTTGATACGTACCTCTGAAGGCGGAGCTCCCGCTTCCGAGCTCGTATTGCGAAGGGGAGGCCTGCCTTCCGAGATCGCATTACAAGGGGAGCCCTCGAGTCCAAATCGTGTATCGAAGGGTATGTGTGAACTTTGAAAACCGAAAAAATATTTTCGGCTCATAATGATCAGGGTAGCATGAAACATGAACAAAAGTAGTTTCCAGAAAAACTTTGAAAAATGTTGACTTAGAAAATTTTCTGTCCGAGTCATTCTCGATACGTACCTCTGAAGGCGGAGCTCCCGCTTCCGAGCTCGTATTGCGAAGGGGAGGTCTGCCTTCCGAGATCGTATATGGAAGTTGACCAGTAGACATATAATTTAACTTGACCAGACGACATAAAGTTGACCAGTAGACATATAAAACTTGACCAGACGACATAAAGTTGACCAAACGACATATAAAACTTGACCAAACGACATAAAGTTGACCAGACGACATAAAGTTGACCAGTAGACATAAAAAACTTGACCAAACGACATAAAGTTGACCAGAAGACATACAATGGATTAAGAAATCGAACAGTATGTTAAATCAGTGTTGTTATTGAATCGTCACTTGTCAGATATTTCGTCATCGATAACGTCATCGTTATTCGCTTGGTATTGTATTCGCTTGTTATAATGGACCGCTTTGTCAAACGGCCTGCCGACAAACCGGCTGGACCTTCGTCTAGCAAACGCTCGAAACAGGCTAAACAGGCCAATGTAACAGCTTCCACGAGAGTGGCTGAATTTGGCAAATCATCGTTTTATGCTGACAATGGGAAGCTATTTTGTAGAGCATGTAATCTCGTCGTAGACCACATAAGGAACAATCATGGGCTTCCCTCGGATGTGGTTAGAACTTCTAAAAGGTTCGTGCAGGGGGCCGGGGTAAGGATGTCGTCCAGGTTGATGTAAGCTTCAAGGGGTAGAGTTTGGATACTAGATGGGGATAGACTAGGTAGGGATATGGGAATTGGATTGAAAAGTTCGTAGTATTCCATTGCTATAGCTGTGAAGTGTAGATGGTCGAATGATGATGTCTCCTGTCGTCTGTTGAAAGTTATATAGTATCGATAACGAGATATGTCATACAGTACGTATGACATTGCAACATTTGAGATCATGTCAAAAGTTATGGCAGCTCTTGTTGTTATGGACCCCCATCAGCCTGTATCAGATCATATGATGAGATCACATCCTCATGGGACATGAGCCGATCAAATAGAATAGTCAAAGAATATGTGAACTCTAACTAAGCACTGTAAATACATTATTTTTTGCCGCGAATTCGCCGCGATTTTTCGATTATTTGCCGCGAATATGCCGCGATTTTCGAAATTCCCGTCGCGAATTAGCCGCGAATTAGCCTAGTTTGGCTTGTCGCGGTGCCGCGATTTTCGGCCAAAATAACCGCGAAATCCTTTTGTCCCTGATGACCATACATTATCTTTTCATCAAAAGAACATAACGAAAGTCGTCAAAACGTCAGTCGAACCGTTTTAAACCTGACTGTGAAGAATAGCATTTGTAGGAAGACTTCCAGTTCGGTTGGTCCACCTCACAGGCAGTAACTTCAGAGAATAATATGCAGGATCCTCCTTCTTCAAACGACTGGTAGGAGAGAAGATTATCTGGCTAATTTCAGGGTCACGATTTATTTGATGATAATGGTACTATTTATCATTATTGAGGCAATGTGTCTGTTTAAAGCTTCAGTTTGAACTCTGGCCCTAACAGCACGGTTCAAAAGGTTTGTTTTTATATTTTTCTTGTCTGTAACATAGTTCGAAGGCAATTTTCACCACAGATGCTGTTAAGAAATGCTGTTAAGAGACCTGAACTAAACATATCGTTAATTTGTAAATTTACCTCAAAAGAAATACCATTACACTTATCTTCAGACCACATGCAATATATTGCACACGTGTTAAAGTCTCTAGCAGAAAGTTTAACTATCTGTGTTCCACTGAATTTTATCCCATCCAGTTGGCATGTTTTGTCTACTGGGGGCTTGCATATCGCTAAAGTCAATCCAAGCAATGCTGAAATAATTCAGTTAAGTAAAAGTAATAAAATTAATAATATGGAACGTTGAGATTGAGGATTTTCAGCAGCTGTTATTCAACATATTTTAAAACTTTATACCTGTATTGTAGAATAAAATCTGCCATAAAGCTCGTATCATCTCCCTTCACCCTTCAATCACTGATTATTGTTAACAGTATAAATATAATGACTAAAACCTCGTCTTAAACAAAACATTTATCAGAAGAATTCAAGATCGTTTTTTAAAATTTTTTTAAACAACTCAAGAAATTCAAATTGGCTCAGCGATGTCATATTTAAATTTCAAAATATGGTCGACGAAAAACATAATCGTTTGAAATTGTGTCGGGGAAATGATCGGTGAAGAAAGAAAGCCGTTAAAAGTATGGGCGCAGCGAATCTGTTAATCTAAGCCAAAAACTATAAGATAATTATTTAAGAAAGCGGATAGCCATAATATTAATAGTAAAAGGTCGATCATATCCATGAAAATTGGGCAGACAAGGCAAATCTCGTCGACCCTTTAATTAATCCTGTTAATGAATCAAGGCCCTGTTAATGAACAGCCCTTATTTCGGCAACTTGCAATCGACTGCTTATAAAGAGGGACGCTCACAATTTTGGCCGTATAATTTTGATTGCTCATATAATTGTGTTTATTCATTATTTCGGAATTTGGATCAATACTATTTACAATAGTCTTGCAGTCTTTATGCGTACAAGAGTACAAATACCGTACAAATGTCCTATGACTGACACAGAACGTACTGTGTAATGACTAATTATTCGCCGACATTTGTATGAACTATGATGGTTCTTAATCTGTACAGTAATTCGTGCTTCGTTGAAATTCCTGTTTAATTGAGCTTAAATGTAGCAAACAAACATTAAATTGCGGTCCAAAATTTATATCCTAAGACTTCTTGAAACATTTATTTGAGTAATTTGCTCTGCTATGCTCTTAATTAGGGCTCTCAATAACAGGTTGTTGCGTATAAATTAGGGCTGATAAGGTACCTTACAAGACATATTTATAACGTACGAAATGTGGCGGTTTTCCGAAAATTTCGCCATATTTTCGGACCGCCAAAATTTCGGTCGTCGTAATAGAATCCGTCGCATTATCTTTTAGCTTATTTCAATGACTGTGCCTTCACTGCTTTATTTTGTTTCTAAAAAGTAATATCAAGTAAAATAAATAAATAAATTCTGGCATCTTGGGACCAATTATCACCACACCAATGACGAATTGAATGTCAAGCAATACAGTTTAAATTTGCATTAAAATACGCATTAGTATGTGCTAACATGAAAGTCTTACAGTCTTAATACAGACTAAGTTTGAACATGATTTTACCGATTTTCAGAAATTTCCTTACTGCTTACTGTCACAAAAAATGATGAAAAATACCCTTATTTTCTGTGACGTCCGAAATGTGACGGTTTTTGTTCAATTTCGCCATATTTTCGGACCGCCAAAATTTCGTCGCAAATTGGTCCGCCACAAAAAAGTCTTGTAAGGTACCTATTTACTCTGGACAGACATATAAAGGATATTAATGCCAAGACAAACACTTAAATATATCAAAAGTTCTTTTACTGTGCAGCTCCACAAGGCGGGAGAAAGAATAGCCGAAGACTCTGAAATAAATGTCTTCTGATCATGATGAACAAAGTCAGATCAAACTATTTTTATTTTAGGAATAAAACAAATATTTCGAGATGATAATTTTCAGCATCTGGCTGGGGCCCCTTTCACACATGAGTGAGGAACTATAACTTAACAAGATGAAATGTTCGACTTCAGCCGCGGAGGAGAATAATGCATGCAACTGATAGACAATAACACTTAAGGGACAGAAATAATCGGCCATTATAACGCTCATTATCTATTGCCATTTATATTTTATACAATGGGTCTGAGATATATGTATCTTTGTCTCGATTTAGTGGGTTGGCTTCACAAAAAATTCAAAGCAGGTTCTAATAATTCAAACCTTTCACATGAATATAAATTATATTCGAGTACTCTATTTTGTGACGAGATTTGAGGACAATGGTTGATAGTATCGTATCTTCACTCTTCGGATGTACTTCTTATTATTAACAGAGATATGAAACAAATGCCGATCAATTTATGATTTCTGTTTATTTGTTGATAAAAAATTTTATTTTATTTTAGGGATCCCATAAAACAACATTTGTAATCTGGAATAAGCAAAGGAAAGTTTACGCGACTCTCTCGATATTATTGAACTTAATCGAAGGGAGGAAATCTCTGCAGATGACTAAATATTCCTAAATTTCTCGCAAGATCATTATTTAATAAGCATCAAATGTATTTAAAAATGTAACCTCGGCAACAGCTATAAAACAACATACTATTACTAAAGGGTTCACTTCTGCAAAGTAACAAACTAATCACTCACGAACCTTCCGAATCTTAAAGAAACCATTAAAATATTTTAGAGTATTGAGTCAACATTGGCTTGATAGCGATACCTTTTGAAAGTTAATAGTGTCTCGGACTTGAGTAACTTAATTTATAATACCTATATATATCCGAGCTCAACGTAGAAACAATCGAGACAATGAGACAGGCACGAATTCTTAGCATTTATCTTATCATTACTACTACTACTACTACTACTACTACTAGCACTACATTTTATACGGTCAATCGTAAATCACAACGTTTTAACAAGTTCGAATGGTGCATGCAATTGGCAAAATTCTCTTACACGACATCGGCCACGCTGAGTCAGTCACTCTGACACAAAATAACGAAAATTGAAAATCTCACGAGAGCAGGAACGAGTGAAAGTTGAGAACATTTATGACTACATAAAAGATATAAGCATGATGAACAAATGTGTACGATCACAAGCACGATAGTTTAAAATTCGAATAGCAGCAGGCATTACAGAATGTCTTCTCTTGTGGTGAAGGTAGTTTTAACGTCATATTTAGGGAGGAAACAATGACTATTTCACAAAGCTGGAACGTGAGCGATTAAATCAACGTGAAAACTTGGAATAATTGCAATTGTTATCAGTATTTCTATGAAATCACCGTGCCACTATCTACTGAAAACTCCAAAAACTTTCCTAGCATGTGGTCACGATGTTAATTAGAAATATATTCACTTTATGGATTGTGTTAGATTCCATTCGAAATGAATAGTTACTACAATTTGAGAACGATGTTATTTTCTAGAATTTATGGCGTCATGCTGATGCTTATACGATCGTTATGCAACTACGTTATCTATATCTTAATCTATTTACGTTATCTAAATATTTTTGTGAGGTACTACGCAATCAATTAATGTTACCACTAATATTGGTAAGGGTAGATATGGTCTCTTAATATAAAGAAGGGGGTTTAAACTTATACCTAGGTATTAAATGTTGCTGCATAATTCCACTTTTTTGATTTAAAATGTATTAGATAATAACCATTTAAAATAAAACAAAAGAACTGTAAGCTTTTTCGATGAAACTTTATTCTTATCGAAACACGTAATTCAAATTATAATGACTGCATAATGAGCAACTTAAATATAATTATCTGGTTTGAACGTAATAAAAACTTAGCTTAGGCTGACGTAAAGTAGACACTACACAATGAAAACTTAGTAAGCTTTGTATAAGGAGCAGTTATAAACAAATATGATTAAATTTTATAACAATTGTAAAGTGCTCGGTACATATATCAAGGTCTGTCTGAGCCATTGTAATATCCAATTAGTAAATAATAAATGTAAACCTTTGTCAATGATCAAGAAAAAAGGGGCTCATGTTCTCAGTTTTAGATAAATTTTACGCAATTTGTTTTGCGTTATAGATTGTAAAAATACAGCTTTAACTCAGAGTGAAATAGATTTTGTTTCATCTCAAGTTTCACTTCAAAATCAGCTTCCAGTCTGTTTAAACCACTTCATCCTCAACACCTCCAACAATCTTACAACATCTCAGTCCCCAAAATTTGGAATTTCTCCAGATTGACGTAGCGGCGTACCCTAGTCGACACTGTGCTGTCAACTTAAAGCTGCTCTCTGCATAACAATGTCCTAACTTAAGAGAGCAGGAATTTGTTCCTGCTTCACAGCTCCCTGGTTGTCCTGGTGTTCCGTCCGTTCCTGGCATTCCTGGCATTCCTGGCATTCCTGGGTCTCCAGAGTCCCCCATAGCACCTGCACAGATATGAACATTCATATTTACAAACTAAATTTTATTACAAACTTTTATAATTCCATACACGTGATCATTCAAGTTTAGAAATAGCTGAGACACATTTTAAAAAGTTCTATTGTACTTTCCATTTTTGTCATTTATTTTTAATTTATTTGTTATTGAGTCAATGAAAGTGGTTACAGAGTTTTTGGGGAAAGGAGTAAATGATGGAAAATAACTAAAATAGGACCAATATGTGAGTATACAGCGGACAGTGGATAAAACACAGGTTCTGAGAGATATTTTAATTTTGGCGAAAAGCAGTTAAAAAACTGATTGTTTGAGGAGTTTCATAGCACAATCCCGACATTAGATGCTTTACACAGTGCTTTTGTTGTAGAAATCACTCTAATGTTAATTTACCAGACCCCCTCCCAAATTAAAATTCGAATTGTCTAATTTAATAACAGTAGAAAGATGCAAATCTCTATTTCTTAAGTTTAAAGCGATGTAATACAATCGAATAAGTGAGCACTAAATCATTAATTCACTACATCATTCTGGGATTTGATGCTTATCTTTAAGAATAACAAATGAATTTGTTCTTCTGCAGCTCGCTTTAGTTCTTGATCATCAAGTTATAATTATTTATTTTGTTAAATCTAAAATACAGTTAAACATTTGAAACGATGAAAATTAAGAAGAATTAAAGAACATGGTACATGCTCTTGAATGCAATGTCAATCTTTAAAATGACGACCTGTTTAAATTTGGAGTGGTTTTAACCTATAACAGTTCAACATAAAAGTGGCAAAGTGACTAGCCTACTTTCGGACTATTAAAAAACCACGTTTCATGACATCATGTTAAGGTATAAAGTTGTGTAAATTATTCGTACTGTATGTAGATTAATTAAGCAGCACAGAAATAGTTAATACCACAGTGTTACTATTAGTTAAAATTAAATAGTAGCCCTAGTAGTTCCATACAGAAATTC